CTTGATAATAATACAAACTGTTTCTTTTACTGTAACTGAAATAGCAAAAGACCGCACTATACAACTGATGGTAGATGATAACCGTCCGCTATATACATGAACAGCACTGGTAACTGCTAACAGGGATGAATGGAAGAGAAAAACAATTACGTCGACCCCAAGTAAATGGGATAAGGAAGAAGCAGATCGTCAAATAACAGATGACACTCGTAGTATTCATGCGTTACCATTCCAGATGAGTAAGATGTCTTGCCTCCATAGCCCATAATTTTACTTATTATTCAACGGAAATACAGCTTATAAAGCCCCCTTCGATCGATCCCCCGTGAAATTCATGCGGGGATCGTAATTACGACGGCCTGAGCCGTGGTTCGAAGCCCGAGCGCTACCCTCAGACTAAAGTCGTATCCGTCAGGCCGGAGTTGGCCTTCAGCCGCTCCATAAGTCCTTCCGCGGGTTTGTAGTACCATCTGCACTTGCCCCCTGTCGTCCGGTGAAGCTGTAAAGGCCAGCTGCGGCCATCAGCATTAGAGTAGTCCGAAAAATGACTTACATATAATATTATATATATAAAGTAAGCTGTTTTGTGGCTGAAATTGGAGACTGAGATACCGTCGAAAACTATATAGTACAAAGTCTACCTCGTTACAAATTGTTTCTATTTGTAAGAAATCTGACAGTTAAAAGAATCACTATACTCGTAGTTTCACTCATCAAAACAGAATTCATTGTGATTTATAAATCCATAGAGTTTCATCTCTCTTTCATCGACTGGATTTGCGAAATTAATCCTACTGATTGATGTAAAGTGGATTGTCTATTTTTATTCAATTATATTTTTTCAGATTCTTCCTGGATATTTAGTGTTGTAGTGAATTTCACATACTAAACATTGAACATTTATAAATATATAGATAGATATCTATTTATACATATTATTACAAGCTGCCTATACTAATAGAGTCCTTATATTTATATATCTTTGATACCATAGACAAAACTACATATATTTAAATTGATCCTGGTTCTTAACACTTCAACACACACATTTTAGCTACATATTATAAAAATATTAGGATATAAATAGTAGTCCAACGACACGAAATCAAGGGAGTTAATTTGAAAATAACGTTATTGAGGCAATTCCGAAAATAGATAGATTTAGACCGGCGATAATATCACAAGTTGACATTTTCTGAACCTACTCTATATTATTTTTAATATTATTATTACTACTTAACTATAATGGGTTCAATATTTTTGCTTAGTCGAGTTAAATTTCTTTATATTTTTAACAATACATTTACGAATTTGATAAAGACATTTAAAATAGACTATTTTATTAATTTATTTATTTATCATAGATATGTACATTATATGGTTTTATTTTTATTTTTCTTGAACATGATGAATAGTCGAAAATTAAATATAATATATTACCTTACCTTCGATATAATATAATGCACTCACACACACCACTAAAAAAATTAAGCACATAAATATAAAATAATTTCCTTTGCACTTACTTCCGGGAAAACTCGAAAAATGCCGCCAAAGAGCAAGATGGCGGATCGCGAAAACGCGCGAAATGTCAAGTTGCGTGTTGCGCGCGTCAATTGATATTGGCGTGAATGTTACAACAAAAAGACGCGAATAAACTGACTATTAGCTTGTTATATAATTATTAACGGGCTTATAAGTTTGGATTACAGCTAGAGGAATTTTTATCGCAGAGTCTGCGTTCCCGGCCAGCCAACATACGTGACTAAGACGGTTTCTCGTGCTTTTAATATAAAATTTAGGTGGCAGTGGCATGGTTGGAAATGCGCTGTGGTTACGATGTATTTCGGAACATGTAATAAGTCATACGCTGGATACATATTTTCCTACAAATATTAACGCAACGACTAACCAGAGTATTATATCTGCGCATCTTACTTTGAAAAAGAAAGTCCCTACCCTTATGTGGGAGTGTCACTGGAGACCTTTGCAATAAATACAAAGTTACAGAGCTAGAGTATACACAGGTAATCAAGGTAAAATGTCCCTGGCCTGTGATAAATTAAAGGAACTGCTTAAACTAAAAAGAAAAGAAAAGAAACAGTCCTTGAGTACTTTAACTAAGTATTGTTTTTAGATTAACTTTGTAAGACCAACTCTGGTACATTATTTTCGGCGCTATAGCAGGATATGTTGAAGCTTTTGTAGCCGGCGATTGCTGACCTCCAGAACATACTGCCGGAGACAGAATGACAATACGAGTGCATTTGAGAGGCGACAAAGTACGTTACTTGACTGTGAATTAAATTATCGGGTACTTGTGCTCCCTAAAATATTGTCGAGCGCAGTGATGGCTGGCTCATACGTCATACTCGTGAACGAGTGCTGCTTGTAGGGACTGATCTGCTCTAATCACGACTGATTTAATCTTATTGTGTATTTATATTTGACCCTCATAAATTAATGGTACTATTGACACGTTTCTTAAAAATGTAAGGTTACAATGATTGCATCATAGAAGTTTCTTACTCATTCTTCTTGTGATGAGACGAATAAGGAATACGATGGCGCTAGCATGCCGGTTAGATGACCATTATGTTCTACTCTTACACAGGAGTGGCACTTACTAAAAACTCACGGAATCTACGGCATTATCCACACTCCTGGTAGGGATCTTAGATTATATTATGGATAATAATGGAATGGTGCCTGCCAGTGCTAGCAGTATACGCTGGTGGGAACCAGTGGAGGACAAGATGAATGAGAATAAGGTCTGGTCCGTTAGCCCATCGTGATGAAATTACATGAACTTCTTGGTTTCCAGGGTGACCCCGTAGAGATCAAACTTACTATATAACTGCATATATACATGATACATTGTTAGCCATAGGGTCTTTACTACGTAACGAACCCACACCAACCCCATTATAAGTTTATTAAAATACAAAATTTTAACTATTAACTTATTACCAGCTATGACATGAAGGAGAGCATAAAGGTTGAAATTGTTGTAACGTAAGTAATGGATCTTGCCCTTATACTACTTTTACGTAATCGAGAAAGTATATACTTTTTTATATGTATAGCATAGGGGACAAACGAGCTTGCAGCTTACCTGGTGGTAAGTGATTCCTGCCACCCATGAGCACCAGTAATATCAGGAAATTGCAAGTCCGTTGTTAAGCTCTTTTCTTTGAAGGTTTCAATATCGTATTGGTTCGGAAATTGTATAACTGGAACGTGACTCCACAATGTGGTTGTGCCTAGCAAAAAGTTTCTGAAAAATGTACAGTGGAGGTCTGCCATTCATTCAGATGATCGGGATGGTATTTTATACTTACATAAATTCTAATTCAAAATATCTTTATTCATGTAGGTCTATTACAGACTCTTAAGATATGTCAAATCTACAGTCAGTTCGGAATGGTTTCGAAATGAGAAGAACTGACAAGAAACTCAGCTCGTATTCTTTTTAAATAAATGTTATATATATTTAGAATAATATGGATTCATTTTTATATTCAAATGAGCGAGAATAGAGTGTCCATATATATTTTCGAATCTGAGTCATAAATTACAATCCATATAACACAGTCAAAATAGTGGGCAAATAAGAGCTGCTTTGATCTCAAGGTACTAGTGCTTACACTAGTGACACATTCCGGAGTTTAATAACCCAGATTATTACACAAACGGCCAGAATTGTGACTAGGAATGCGTGTTCTCTATTATTACTGATCAGAATCTATTATTAGACAAAATAGAAGGACATGCCTACTTATAATATTCTAATGATAGCATTCTTTAATTAGAAGATCTTCAAAATTATTATGAACAGATGTTTTATGATTTTTTTTCTTACTCAAAGGGATAATTTATTGAGCTCTGGTTTCCCACTGTTGATTATTATATGGCAGATATATGGCTATGCGCTCCATAATAATTATTACTACATTACATTTAAACTAAAATTATAAAGCGACAGTTTGTGGGTTTGATAGGATTTTGAAAATTCTTTGATTAGTGCTATGATGGAGGAAGTGTCCTTTTGAAACTTAATAAAGATTAAACCGAAAATTTCATTAACAATATCAGTTATTTCTTTTACTAGATACGAAATATTCAATGGAATTAATACGTTGTTAGGATATAGCCATAAAATTTCATTAAATTGGAATTAGTTTCCAAAGTCGACCGGTGGATATAAAGAAAAAATTGTCGTTCTTAACGACAATTTTTTCTTTCTTAAGCGCCATCTATTATACACTTATAAAATTAAAATATATGTTCTGCAGAGCTACCGCTATCTATTGAATAATGAAAGTATGAATAAGAATAGTATTCAGTTTAAAATTTCTAGTTTTGCTTTTGCTTAATACGATTTCTGTTTACCGTTTTAATTTAGGACATCAAGAAATATTGTAAATTGTTTATAATCCTTATAGATTACAATGTTTTAATAATGATAACAATTACGCAACAAATCTTACGTAAATCTTCATAATGAAGGATGTTAAAATTCACAAAACGAAAAATTCGTTAAAAAAGTCTAATTGCATTTTTTTACTGCAGTAAACTATTATTTATTAAAATAGTCTTTCATCTGACGATTTATTTTTACATTTTTATTTCATTGCTACAAATATCTACCGTTTTATAAGTTTATCACATTTCTCGTATTTACATTGTATTTGGCAACACTGTGGGTTAGTTTGAATTTTCTTTTTATAAAAGATATAATAATACATTAAATCAATTAAAAAATTATTAACTTTTCTCTTTTACCGTTTTTTCTCCGATTTTTATTGAACTCTTGATCTCGAAGTAAATAATTAAAAATAATAATTGAATGAATGAATGAATGAAACTAAATAAACATGTTAACCATAATAATAATAATTAATTCATCTTTGTCAAACATCAATTAAAGATTATTTAATTATTAATAAATAATGCACGATAATAAAAACAAAACTTTATGAACTAAAATTACTCCGTGTATAAAGCAACGACCTGTAGAATTAATTAATCACATAAGTTCAAACAAACAGCTGTAGTTTGTAACTCAGTGCTTCCATTCCACTTGTTGCACCCACTTTCAAAAAGTTTGGCGTTATTTGTGCTGTGCTGTTCACCTGTTTGTGAGAAAGTAAACTTCATTCAAATCAGACATTTACAAAGAAATAGTATTCACGTTATCAATTTACCGTTATTGTTGACGTTAAAATCATAGATTACTGTGTGGTTTGCGCTTAATAAATGCTTGTATTTAGCTTCGTTACGATGCACCTGCAATCGAGTGCATTACATCAATGCAACCAGTGTTAGTGTTATGAATTATTTGTTGTTATAATATGATTTTGACATGATTGAACGGGAAAATAAAGAATTGTGTTTATCTTTACCTACATGCTCGCTCATTTTGAGCAGGTAAATAAATCGAACCCATCGAAACAGTCATCAGACCCGAAAATGACTCATACGTGGTCACTGGCAAGAAGATATTGTTTTGTTTTTGTGAAAATTCCGTACTGATGACTGTGCTTGAGAATTTTAGAAAAAAAATTGGTGTTGTGACTGTAGTGTCCTGTGAAGAGGTGTTCTTTATTTAAATTTTCAAACCAAGAAATTTGCCGATGTATTGGAGAGTGCCAGTATTTTGTATTTAAAATGAGTGAATAAAATGGCCCAAAATTCAATGGATTCAGACAGATTATCTTCTGCTGGTATTTCAACACATAGCTCCGGTACTGCAGGCACTGTTGGAGGGTCTGTTATAGGTGTGAGAGTGGGAGATCCAAATCATAAGAGAGAAAATGAAAATGAATACAATTTAGGACCATTGCCACCAATGTGGGAAAAAGCATTTACACCATCAGGGGAAACATATTTCATTGAGTAAGTAAATTTAAATACTCTTAATTATTTTATTTATTTATTTATTTATTTAACTTCAATGCACACAATATACAAAATATAGTAAAGTACATTTGGCGGACTTAACACCATGCGGCATTTTCTACCAGTCGACCATTGGTGGTGCAGAGAGTAAATGTTGGTGGTGCAAATATAATAAATGATAAATAAAAAGCAACAAAATATAAACAGAATGATAAATACAATATATATTTTAATGATATAATTAATTATTGATACTGATTTAAGACTATTTGTCTTAACTATCTTATATAAATGTGTTAGACAGAGGAATGTGGAGTCTATTAGAGAAGGCCTATCTCTTAGCACAAGCTGACAAACCGAGGCACTGAAATAGTAATAAACAACAATAAAATTAACTTTACTATCAGAATAAAGGCTATATAAGTTTGAATGTTTGTGAATATCACATATCTAGTACTGCTGTACCCATTTTGAATCAGGTTATCTGTTTTCACCTATACCTCACAACATTATAAATTAATAAATTTGCCTGTAACATAAACATGTCAGAAAATTAAAAATTTGTTTATTTTCTATAACTATACATGACTTTTTCATGTACTCACACATGATAAAACACAGGCCAGTATTTTTTGATTATCCAAACACATTCAAAGTAAATATTTAATGTTGGTATACTAAAAATATTACATTGTTCTTATAAACTCAACCTGGTCAGGTTTAGTGAAGATTCTAATCTCTTGAAATATAGTACACAGATAATATATCTAGTTATATAATATATCATTACAGATTTAAAAAAATAAAAGAGTTTAAAAAAACAAGTTTCATATTATATAGTGTGTTGGACTTATCCTTCGAAGTTTATACAAACTTGTATTAAGATATAATTAATTTACTTCTTTTAGTATATAAAAATATTTTTATTTATTTATTTATATATTTTAAATTGTGAACAATGTGGTTTTTCAAAGGTCTTGTATCTTTATGTAATTCAAAGAAAGCGAAAAGGTAAGGTAAATTAAATTAACACATGCAAAAAGTGAAACTTGTGAAAATAGTGTTGTACTGTTTGTAAAGTATTTCATTGATAAGTAAATGTATGTTACATTGTAATAGATTATATAATGTTCGCTTTATTCCATACTTAATTGTAGCATGATTTTTTAGGGCATTTATTTATTGTAAAAATAAATAAAAAAATACAAAATAAACATTTGTGCATTTATCTCTGTATAGAAAAATTATTGAAAAAATATTGTTATGTACATTTTATGTAATGCAATAAGTTATAATATAAAGTTATTTATGAACTACCAAGAATGTATGTCTTTCTGAGGTACCAATCTGGTTTAATTAATGAGTACTATTTTCCAAGTTGATTTGCTTTTGTTCTCTATTGAATCAAATAAAATCATAATAATTTATTAATGTAGAACATATTAGCCGCTTATGATCGTCAAGTGTTTGTAATAATATTATTTCCCTACCATTCAGTTCAGTTGTCTATCTTGTAATCTGTGGAAAACTATGAACAGATGTAGTAAAAGTTTCATTGCAGGCTAATTCACAGTTGGAACATCCTCTCTGAAATCGGTGCTGATTGGTCATTGACTTGAAATTCAAAAGTAATGCATTTTTTATTTCCAGCCACAACACTGGCACCTCTCACTGGTTGGACCCTCGGTTAGCGAGAGTAAGGAAACATTCCCTGGGTGAATGTGGTGAGGATGAACTACCATATGGATGGGAGCGTGTCACGGATGAAAGATATGGCTCTTACTATGTGGACCATATAAATAGAAGAACACAGTATGAAAACCCAGTGCTTCAGGCCAGGAGGTTGAGGGGTAAGTTACATTGAAAATACTGTATTCTTTGTAGTGACAACCCAGTACTATTCTTTATCTTTATCTAATAATGTAGACCTTGTGACTGGAGAGATTATTAAAAAATATATACAATTCCCAAGAGAGCTTGAAACAAAAGTCAAAACTGACATACAAAAAAGGGATATAACATTCATTTAATTATCTATAAAAGAAATGATGCTAGCAACAAATTTGACTGGAGAGGCATGAGTATACCATTATTAAAAAAAAATCTGAAGTAGTCACAACCTGGAGGAAAGGAGTCATATATTTCATTTAGCGTTCCTTAGTCTCTGCCTACCCTAATGAGAGACAGGCGAGACAATAAGTATGTATATATAACAATATAACAAGTGACTATAGCATAGGGTTTTTCAAGAGGATTGTTATGTATATTAAGGTTTAAAGGTCGACAACGCGCACGTGACACACCTGGTGTTTCAGGCGTTCATAAGCTACTGTAACCCTTTACCATGAGATAAGCCATATGTTTGTTTGCCACCGTCGTAGTAAAAAAAAAAGTACGCAAAAGTATACATATGTACTATATCTAAAATTTATTGCTATTTCTCGATGGTCACATTGATTTAACAATACTGGGTTCTCACTACAAATATGCAAATAGGTCTACCATTCCGAGATTCGCATGCAAATGATAGCAATCAACTAAGTAAAAGTCGTGGTGAATGAAGATAATTGTTAGAATTATTCATACATAATGACTAACTACCGTGAAAGATTGATAGGTAAATGGCAAACAGAGAGGAAATAATTATATCAGACATGTATACAAACATTTTGAAGCACAAAGGTTCCCAAGGCACTTCATTGAAATGTTTTAATGGTTCTAGACATACTCTTTTTTATACTATAAACGAGTACCTAATGATAACCGTATATATGTATGGATGCTCATAATATGTTTGTATGTAGTATAAGTATATACAGAGCTGACCAAACAGGCCATTTCTCTGGCATTGAGTCTACGCAACGGTGTAGTTAGTCGATTTCCAGATCTACACATATTTACTTGTAATTTGCTGGATTTTCATAGGATGGCAGTAGATAATTTATGTAAAATTAAGATAGATAAGATAGCTTAATTATAACATCAAATGACAAGTACCTACAATATAACAATTCAATAAAGGGTAAACCTGCATGTGTGTGCTACAGCAATACACAATTGGTACATAGCATACATTAAGTTTTCTTTGTAATTAGTGCGTATATATTAGTAACTAGTGTGTATATGTATGCAATCTTCCGAAGTGGGCATATTGGGAAACTAAACTAAAGCTCGCTTATATGACGTAAATCAATATATATATATATATATATATATATATATATATATATATATATTATATAACTATATATAGTAAATTAAACCGCCTTCAAGTATATCTGCACTCTCTAAGTTGGCTGGTAATAATAGCATTACCTACCAGCAAACTTAGAGAGTGGCTAGGTTTAAGCATTAAGCCCGCCTATTATAAAAATCAATAAAGTTTAAATAAATCACCGGTTTCCATAACTGGATTGATGCCTACAAGACAAGTCATACTCGATTTTGGTGTTGACCAGATTCAAACTCACCGCTCAGGTCTGCAGTACAAGATAGACTACTAGGCCACAACACTCCTAATCATCATCATTCATCATCATTGCCTTCCCTTTATCCCATTATTTGGGGTCGGCGCAGTATGTCATTCTCTTCTACTGGTCTTTATCGATCGTCATATTAGAGCGTACACTTCTTTTATTCATATCATCTTTCACACAATCCATCCATCTTTTCTTAGGGCGTCCCCTCCCTTTACATCCACATTCATATTATATACTTTCCATAAGACACTTTAAGAGACTTTCCACAACACCGCTAATAATATCTTTTAAGGGAAAAGTAATAAGTTACTTTTTAATTTAAAACTGATTGTAAATCATATAACAAATAAATTCGCCCAATTTCCTCTATGTTAAAATTTCTTTGTTTTTTCCCCTTACTTTTCATTGCTCATCGCTCCTATTGGTTCTAATGCCATAAGGCTATAATACCCATAGCCTCATATCTATCGAAGGTTGACGATAATTATGGAGATCTTTATTTACGGCGGTCCTGAAAAGGGACCTGGTGCTCGTCTTAAAGTATACGTTTTTCATTCCTGACGTTTTTCAACCACGAAGTACGGCGTCTGCCTGGTCTTCGGCAACCCTCGATTTTTCCCTGTACGATTAATTGCAGAAGACTGTATTTTTGCTCCGCATTATGTGACCCATGTACAAATAGGCTATCAACAACACAAACAAGCTGGCCTAATGATTACAATATAATTTGGAATAATAGTATGATAACGATTATAATGATTATTTTTTTAGCTGAAAAATTAGCTGCAGAAAATGGCGGCAGCAGTCAACCAAACGGCGCAACGCCCACAGGAGAGCTTCGCGGCGATAGATTCACTCTCACACTTACGAAAAGCACACAGGTATTTGAATATTTAAAACTAATATGATAAACTAGCAATTACCCACGATTTCGTCTGCATAAACTTTACTCTCCTATTTCACCCCTGACCTGATTTTTTTTTTTTATAAAAAGGTAGACTATAAGCTGCATTAGCCATGGGCTCAGCTCCATAGCCTAATTCCTCCAGCACCCTTCCACCACCGTACAATAAGACGTAGAGAGTGGCTTCATCGTATACAATTGACTTCCCTGCTCGCACTAACCGATTTGCATCATCTTTCCTTATGCGAGCAGCTAAGGAGTCGAACCCTCTCCCAGCGTCCTGCCTCTCAAGAAAGGAGAAAGTCATATGTATTGATATCTCCCATGCAGATGGCTTACTGATCTTAATTATGCTAAAATGTCAAAAATCAGTTTTCGAGTAAGAAACACTAATTGGACTATTTGCCTGTGACAAAATTGCTATAGCATATGCGATGGTCACTCTATTCTCCCAAATTTTAATTTAATAATTATTATAAACATGCATTTGAAAAGAATAAGAGCTCAGTTTCTTGTCAGTTCTTCTCGTCTCGAAATCATTCGGACCTGACCGGTAGATTTGACATATCATAAGAGTCTGTAGACTTACATGAATAAAGATATTTTGATTTGATTGCATTTAATTAAAATATCTTCTGCGGACTAAAACTAATTGTTAATTAAATATTCATTAATTTCTATTTGAATTGAAAGTACGTAATTTTTTTTTACACTACTAGACTATTGATTTAAATTATTTTGAAAGGTCATAAATTGCATTTAATTAAATCTTCTGCGGACTAAAAATTATTGTTAATTAAATGGCCATTAATTTCTATTTAAATTGAGTGTACAGTATTTTTTTTACACTATTAGACTATAATTATAGTTGCAGTTTAGATAGTGCCCTTATTACATTTACATCACATCTAACGTAATGTATATATGTTTTAAATCTTTAAAAGTTTTAGATTCATTGTTCTAGTATATATATTTTTATTTCTGTATAAATAAAGTTTTTAATCATTTTAGTATATATATATGACTTGCTATATTTGTAAAGAAGTTTTTTACATTGGTTAATATACATAACATATATGTAATCTTATTTTAATGAAAATGTTTAAAACTCGGCTCGGTTGTTTCACGTGAATCTCTTTAATGTGCAACTCTACATATTATTCACAGGGCTTGGGTTTCACGTTAATTGGAGCGGAAGGTATACCCGAGACGGAAGGCTATCTACAGATTCGCAGCATCGTACCGCACAGTCCTGCCTGGATAGATGGTAATATATATTTTATATGAGAATATATACTAGTATTGTATCAATCATCCAACGAACTTATTTTATTTTTTTTTTGTGACATCCAGCTTTGATCTCACTACCTCTTGAGAGTAATTCAAGGTAGTATAGCACTAAAGCAACGATGCTTATTATGATTACTTAAGTTTAATAAATTATTTTTTATTTTGGTACTAGCTGTGCCCGCATAAAATTTATAGCCTATGTGTTCTTCCGATGTATAAGCTATGTTACTGTAAAGTTTCATCAAAACCGATTCCGTAGTTTTTGAGTGCAAGACTAGCATCCATCCATATATCTATTCATCCATACAAACTTTCACGTTTATAATATTAGTAAGAAGAGGTCATACAGTGAATTACGTCTCATCAATTTCAATAATATGTAAGAGATTAGGCTTTCTATTATCTAAAAAAAAATTCATACGAAGTAACGGATATTTCAATGTACATTCGATTTGTTAAGGTATAGCACACCGTTTTACATCCGATAGTCGCGGATTCGATTCCTAGCACGGTACAAACATTTGTATTTATAAGACTGTTTGTATTGATCTGGGTGCTTTGTATTTACCAAAAAAATATCGAAGTATTTCAGTAGTCTAGTCCTTATGGAGACTCAGCTCAGCTTAGCTTGGGACTAGGCGGCGTCGTGAGAAATTGTCCTAAGATATTATTATTATTATATCAGGCCGGCCGTATGCATTAATGCTACCCTTGTGGTATGTTCTCTGCAGGCGCGCTCCGGCCAGGAGACGTAGTGGTGGGCGTTGGATCGCGTGCAGTCCGCGGCCTCACGCAGGCGCAGGTGGCGCAGATGTTCCAGTCCATTGCACCCGGAACTGACGTCACGCTGCACCTCGTACGCGGTGAGTATATTCCTTTATAGCGACGGCCTCTGTGGTCTAGCGGTTCAGCACACCGCTATACTTCCGATGGTCGCGGGTTCGATTCCTCGTAGAACACAAACATTTGTATTGTAATTCAGTATGATTGTTTGTACTGGTCTGAGTCCTTTATATGTATATTTTGTTATGGATGATAATGAAATGGTGCACCCGCCTGCACTAACGGTTTTCTAGGGGAACCACGTGGAGGTCAACCTGATATGGTACATTGCTCGCAATAGGGTTATCAGTACATATTACTAACAATACCGTTCTCACCTATTAAATGGATTATCGTAGATGAAGTCACAGGCATAGCTAGTATGTAACTGAAAACCTGAAATTTTTCACATGATTAGAGTCGCGTAATTAGGTAAATTGTCTGTAACAATTGGATAATGTAATCAGTGATTAGTTCAGTCTTAAATCACTAATCCAATTTAGGATTGCAACATAATACGAAATTTGTTAAATAGTTGGTTATTAGTAATACAGGTTTTTATATGGCAATAGTATCAATAGCTATTACCCGCGACTACCTATTTTTTGTGATATTTATCTATGTATCTTTTGACTATTTCAGTCCACGTGACACAATGTATCTTCACATCAAATTAAGATTGTTTATTAACGGGTTATTCAAATGAATAATTTTATGGCAAACCTCTCGACTTTTCGACTAGGTTGCACTAGCCATGGTCACGAGCTGACTGGAGTAACAACCTAGTTTAAAATAATACCTTTATTTGCCATAACATTTTTTTTTTATTAGTTTGGCCTAGATGATGCTGTTTGAATTGTATTGATTTGTTATTATTATTTGTTAGGTATATTACTAGGGTCTGTATTTATTCAGGTTTATTGTATAGGTATTTTACTATAATAAATTTAAATTGATGACATAAATAGTATAAAATAATTAATAATGAAGAGAATAACTATTAAACAGAATATCTGCAGAAGAAGCCATTTTGTAGTTATTTTTATTTTCCCGCGCAAACGTAATGCGCCACAGACGCAGAATATCGCACGGCGTGCAGCCGCAGTAGGCTGACGAGCACGTCATAGCTGTATGCGCGATTTTAATACTACTATGAGTATTAACTAATTAAGGAACAGGACATTGTCGATTATATACGAACCAAGAGTAACTTAACATTGAGGGTGACACGGCTGAAGTCAAGCTAGAACGCGAATTTCAAGGCGTTTGTGGCCCGCGTCCCCACCAACATGCTGCCCACCTTTATGAAGGAGGTCTACTGGCCGAAGAGTGGTGTATCGGCGCTATCGTGACACATTGCCGTCGTCAGTGCCGTGATCACACAGACAATTTCAATATCGTAGTATTATAAAAATATAATATTACTGATTTGGGTTGATTGGAAGCGATCTCTTTTAGAGATAAGTCCTTTGCAAACAACAACAAAATTTGTAACACATATTCAAACCTTGTATTTAAAAGTGCAATAAAGCATATATATTAATTAGTATGTATGTTAATCTATTAGGTATTTATAATATGGGCCTAATAGCCTAAAATAAATAAAAAGTAAATTAACATTATTATATACGATAGTATAGATAGGTAGTAGTCGATGGGTTACCATAGACTCCGCACTCACTTTCGTAAACGAAGACAGTGAGCTACTAATCCATGACAGAGACCATGTAACGCATAAATTAGAAGTTACATGGAGCGGAAATCGATCTGTAGGCCATATGGGAGTTCGTCTCGCTTCACAACTCATTCGTAATAGCTAATCAGTTTATTACTAACAAGAGTTACGTCAGATTTCACGTAATCTTACTTGGGAATGCTATGTAAAATAGACGCTAAACATTTACATTTTTGCTTTACTGAAACTACGGGGAGCTGAATATTGCCTAAAATTATGTAATAATAATAACATCTCAGGACAATTTACAGATCGCCTTCTAGTCCCAAGCAAGCAGGCCTTGTGTTATAGGTACAAGAACACTGATATAAATACATAAATACAATGTTTTTGTAATTACATACATAATATATGTTGCGGGTGAGTGATACTATGTTGTTGGTCGAGACGATGTATATTACAGATAATAATAAACTGACAATATGTACATAAAAATATTAATCTTATATACTAAATAACAATAAGAAAATGTAAGGTGGGGTGACACAGTTTAGACACAGCAGTGCTTAGTAAACAATATTGAATTTGTCTTACTGGGCATTATTAAATGCAATTATTATTTTGATGAATCTAGGTGACTGTGTCCCATAATATACATAGAAAACACCCAATAATACAAACAATCATACTCATGAATATCAAATGATGAGAGGTAAATTAATAAAAATATACAATGCTGAAGTGACGCTTATAAGTTTTTTTTAACAATATTTATATTACGATTTCAAACTTATATTACGATAAAAACAGTTATATAAAAATGAAATTAGAACTATAAATAATCTTCCTACCTACAATATATACCTTATTTTCACGAAGTCAATAGTTTTGGCGTACGACCAAAAGTGTAAAGTGTAAAGTGTACACAAACTTTCCAGGTAAAACTACCAAATGACTGTATTATTAATTTTACTATAAAATTTTACATTCAGGTTACCCTTTGTCGTTCGACTCTGAAGATCCAAACACGCGAGTGTTAAGCACGCGCGCCGTCGATGCCAACACACCGCCTACTTCCGATGCTGTGGCCATGCAGCAGCTCACTAGGGCGCTACGGACCAGGTTTGTAACTTTGTTATGTATTGGAAGCGAAATTTCTGTAGAGACGTATATTAGGATATTTCAACAACACACTTGCAATTTCCCTAGTGTTGCGGTTGCTCATGGGCGGCGGTAATCACTTACCATCAGGTGAGGCCCATACTCGTTTGTGCCCTGTGTTATAAAAAAAATCGATCAAGAAAATAAGTACCGTCGCGTGGTGGGGGGACGATATAGCGCGTTGTGAGAGAAAGAGAATGGCTGGCTGCGGAGAGAGAACAACGGCAGCCGCGCGAAGTACGGAGAAGAGAAGTGGTATCTATTTAAATTTCACTTCTACTAAGTACCCCAGCACACAATCCATTTTTTTATTGAAGGCTTTGGATTATCACTTTATGATAAAGATAACCTGTAGCACTGCAATCTACATAGATCTGTTGGGCTCGCCCTTTTTTTAGAGTTCGCTGCATAGGCCTAGATAACAAGAATTGAAGGATATTCTTAGGAGCTATGGTTTTTATGTCCTTCCATCTGGTGGTCCCCTGATGGTTTCCTGTGGACGATGGGTTAACTGCCCTGTCTTTATAATTTATTAATATTTTTTTTTTAAATGAATGATGATGGAATATTTCATCCGCTTGTGCTAATGATTTACGCGGGTGGGACATCAGTTCGATGGTAAGTTCACCAGATATTTATCACGATGGTTACCAGAAGAAACCGCCTGGAAGGCAACCTGACATGGTACATTGCTAGCAATAGGGTTAGTCCACGTTACTAACAATCCCCTTCCCCCAATGATTATAGATTCAACCTGGATTCACCGAATCATGTGGAAGCCAGTCCCGGAGAGGACGAGCCGGACAACGGACAGTCCGGACAAAGCGCGGGCCAGCGGCGGCTCATGTCCAGATCGTTCGACTTGGACGAGCTGCCCACCACACAGTCCGTGGTCGCCCCGCCACGGTGCTCCTCCGCTGATCACCTTCTCTCCCTAGCTGATGGTAAGTAGACTTTTTTAGTCTGTACTAATATTATGGGAACAGATTTAATTTTATGTAGTCTGTGGGAATTCACAAGAACAGAATTGTATTTTATATGCTGTAGTAGCAAATTGGTCTTAATATAATGTAATGTAATATTAGTCACTGTCGTAATAATAATAATATCAGGACAATTCCTACAGCGCCATCTAGACCCAAGTTAAGCTAGCTAAAGCTTGTGTTATGGTTACTAGATAACTGATACATATACATAGATATTTTTTTGTAAATACATATCATACATAAAACACCCAAACCGATACAAACAATTATACTCATGAATACAAATGTTTGTACCGTGCGAGGAATCGAACTCGCGACCATCAGTCGTAAAGCGGCTTGCAAGACCGGTAGACCACTGACGTCGTCGAAATGTTACATTTTAAATATGTTAAACAAGTATATCTTTAATATATACAACATAATAGTTTTAAATATTACATAGAATTTCTATGTAATATTTAAAACTGAATAATAATAAAATGTGCCAGTTTCGTTTCTTGCTAGTTCTCGTCACGTATATCGTGGTTGTGATTACAGATCACGGTTCACATAACGGAGTGGGCCCCGCGGCGGACGCGGAGTCGCAGGAGGGCGGGGCGGGCGCGGGGTGCGGGGCGGGCGCGGGCGCGGGGCCGGCGGCGGGGCTGGGCCCGGGCGGCCGGGAGCTGCGCGTGCGGCTGCGGCGCGGCGCGGCTGGGTTCGGGTTCACCATCGCCGACAGTGTGCATGGACAGAAGGTCAAGAAGGTACGCCATTCTTTATCGAAAATAGACATGTAATGAGTCGTCCGCATAGGGTACTTCAGTCTAACGTATTTAACATTTTATTTATTTATGCCACCAGATTATGGAATAGTTAATATTGAATACAGGTCATCGACTTGTCGTTTTGATTTACGTCGTCGAACTTACTTTTGATAATAAAGTATGTATATCCTTGTTATAAATGCAGTTTTTTTTTTATTTTGAGTCCATGTGGATCCTAACCCTTGAGTTTTACATGTAAACATATGAAAAATATGTCTCGACTTACGTCGCCTATTTCTAAAACCTACCATGCCGTAAGTACGAGGACCGCCTGTATACCAGAACAAGACTAACATTTCGTCTACGTTAATACCTGTTTCAGCCGCCAAGCAGCTTGCTTTGTAAGCTGTGTTTCAGTTGTAGGGTGCAGATTAGGTAGTGACACAAGATAAGAGACATTGTATCTTAATCCTCCAGTATGGATACGCATAAGTGATGTATTAAGGGTGTTAGATGACAACATGATATCCGTATTGCTGTTATTAGCGATATTTACAACTTAATATAAATGTCAACTTGTGTTTCCAATCCATTTGCATAAAAGGGACCCCTCCGATCGATCCCCCATCCAATTCAAACGGGGATCGAAATTACGACGGCCTGAGCCGAGGTTCGAACCCCTAGTGGTGCCCTCAGACTAAAGTCGTATCCGTCAGGCAGGAGTTGGCCTTTAGCCGCTCCATAAGTCCTTCCGCGGGTTTGGAGTGCCATCTGCACTCGCCCCTAACGTATCATATATAGCATTAGAGTAGTCCGAAAAAAAAAGCATAAAAGGCAGCCAAAGAATCGCGGTACTTTCTTTGGCCAATACGCTTAATCAAGGCGAATTTAGTATATATCTACTATAAGAAAGTAAATTACAAATAATCTTAAAGGCACATATTTATTACAATCACGAATATATTAATGAATCCCATGTAATCTTAGTAATATTAAAAACGCCGAAGTTTTTGGGTATGGATGAATGGATGGTTGGACTTGTGGTTTGGTTGGCGTGTTGATAACAGAAGAAGTGGTAGTAATGAAAGTAGAAAATATATAACGGGGTATATAATATTAGAATAAAAATAATAAATAATAATTACGTATAACAACTTTTGAAATCATTAAGTAGCAAGCGAATAAATTGGACATTTTGACAATATCAGAGTCCTTTTGGGCAATGGATCTGTGTTATGCTCGGGTTGTTGTTAAATGGAAGGAAGAACCAGAGTGACCGACATGCTCTTTCACACAAAATCAACATTAGACTAATACATCTAAATATATATAATTCAATCGTGAGTGACATAGTGATCTATCAACGCACAGCCCAAACCACTGCACGGATCGGGCTGAAATTTGGCATGCAGGTAGATGTTATAACGTAGGCATCCGATTGTCGTGGATTTTGGGGGATCCTATGTCCAGCCAAGGAGATAAAATTCCGGGATGAAAGTTGATGATGATGAAACTTTGTCAATTTTAAACAATCGGGCTGAGACTTTAGCAAGCGAATAAATTGGACATTTTGACAATATACGTAGGTGTATCTGTAAGAATATGGATTTTGATAAATTCCACCCCTAAGAGGATAAATTAACGCAAGCGAAGCCGCGAGTAAAAGCTAGTAGGCTATAATTTTCACGCGGGTGAAACAATGGGCACAGGTAGTGTAATGAATAATATGATATTTATTATCTTGACAGGTATTGGATCGTAGTCGCTGTGCAGGACTACGGGAAGGTGATCTCTTACTGCAGATCGGTGATACTGACGTGAGACACTCGCCGCACCAGCGTGTAGTACAAGTTAGTTACTTTTATACTATGATGGTAGCAAACAAGCAAACGATCTATCTGATGGCAAACTGTTACCATGATAGGCAATGACCTATGAATCCCTAATTTCATGATGGTAAAGATTTTGAATACTCATGCATACCGGACAACCTTATTGATTTAATTTAGATTTAATTCTATATAATAAGTAAGTTTTATACCCCTATTTTATACAACATATAGTCCCTGTTTTTCTCGTAACTGTAAGATAAGTGTCCCGGTGTATAATTGGTTCTGTGAATGATATGCGTGTGTGCGCGGTGTGTGCAGGTGCTGAAGGAGTGTCCCCCGCTGCAGGAGACGTCGCTGCGCGTGTGGCGCCGCCCCCCGCCCCGCGCGCGCTCCGCCACCAGGCTGCACCGCGACCACTGTAACCGCACCCCCACCCTGCACACACTACACACACTACACACACTACACACACTACACTGTACACTCTGCACTCTACAACATATATGCTACCCTCTACATCTTGCACTCTGCACTTTACACCATGCATGATGCTCTCAACATCTCATGTTGCGCTTTATACTACATTCTACACTGTACACTCTGCAGCTACACTCTTTACTCTACACCCTGCACTCTACACTCAACTCTCTACATTCTATGCACACTCTCTACATTCTATGCACATATTTGCACTTTTAGTCAAGAACGAAGAAAGTTATTTTTTCCATTTTTGTTGTAATAATTTAATACTCACAAAACTTATTAAGGAGTCCAAAGAGAAATACTAAAAATATATAGAAAACAAACCACAAAAATACTTTAATTTGTTATCAATAAACAAAAAACTTCAATTTGTTGTTTTTTAACTTTACTAATAATTTGAACAAGTAGCGGAGAATTTACAGTTCTCCCTCGGCTGGGAAGTACAATGCTACACCATTGTTGCTATTTTTTAAAATAATTGTTTAATAAAAAAAAAACATATTTTAAAAAGATTTTAACAATATATTTGAAGATTTTCTTGCATTGAATGATCCATTTCAGGTTTTATAATATTAATTTCTTTTACAGCGCCCGCAAATAACAACCAATTGGGCAGAAGTAAAACACCAACCGCTGAACAACTGAGATCTGGACTACAACAAGACAGCATGCGTGATATGATGAACGGCATGGACTCTGGTATGAACAATTATTTTATTTACGCACACCCTTAGTGGTCGAGTAGGTGACGGTTTAACACGCCTTACTTGTGATGGTTGCGGGTTCGATTCCTTGCACGATACAAACATTTGTGCTAATGAGTATGATTGTTTGTGTCAGTCTGGACGTTTTCTATGTATATAATATATGTATTTACGAAAAAATCAATATATTTGTATCAGTTATCTAACATCATCGTAAGGCATTAATATAACAGCATCAAATATAATAATGTAATAGCATCAACATAACACAAGCTTTAGCTAGTTTAAATATGTTAGACATTACCTGAACACTATGTTATTTTTTTAAAAACTGAAAGTAATTAAAAAAAACAATTATAACAAAAATAAATCTACCAGTTAAAATGAATCTTGCCAGTTCATCATACTAGCTACTTGAGTTGAGAAAAACTGGCATCTATATGTATGACTACTCCTACGGTAGTGATATAAAATATGACAGGCAGACCCCAAATGGTTCTATATAAATAAATATTTTTATATTCCAGTCGAAGCTACATACGCAGTTCCAGAACATAAAGGACGAGAACGGGAGAGTCTTATCGACCGACGACGGCGCAGTAGCACCCCAGGGGGTCGACTGACCCTTCCTGTAGTTACCCCATGGACCGAACCACAGAATGACAACCAATGGTGCCAACCTGAACGAGAAACCTGGGTTGATAACTCCAACAATATTCGAAACTGGGCTGAGAATACCCAAACTTGGGACGAGAATGGACAAAAGTGGGATGTAAATGGACAGAAGTGGGACGTAAATGGACAGAAGTGGGATGAAGGGGTGAACAGTGTGGGTTGGGATGGAAACCCGGAGAGGTGGAATGGGAATTGGGGGGAAGTGCCAACACCGACAGTGCATGTTGATATGAATGCTGCATACTGTAGGAGTAATGCAAGTGTTGCAGATAGCAGTGATAATGGTGGTGAGTTTATCTGTGTATCTTCACGACAACTCTCTTAAGTAGAGTGTGTCCATAAAATTATGATGTAGGTTTTCTTCAGTATTCTTTCTATCTCTATTCAAAGACCCTGCATCTCACCTCACCCAAGCATGATAGCAATATTTTCAATCGTAATTTAATCGTAAATATTTACATTCTCTACTTAGCTTGCTCTATTGTTACAGTAATTATAAAGGTGTTTTTTTCATTCTTAATATTAATTCTAATTCCAAAGTCTTGAATATTTTTTCAAATAATTATACTGTATTAAATTATTCATACAAAAAAGCTAACGATATCCTTCTTTTTATGAAAGCAAGTTTTTCAGTTGCTTGTAATTCTAAAACAAACATTATTATTATATCAATTGTCTAGTACCCATCACACCAGCTCTGCTTAGCTTGGGACTAAATTGCGCTGTGAGAGTTATTTATTAGAAATATTAATTTTATACTAACCTACCCACGCAGGTTTCCAAGAGGAAGGTCGTGTTCAGTCCCCGGCGGTCGCTCTGGGCAACTCTCACGCCGCACTTCGCAATGCTCCTGGCGATTCTCACAACCATACAGGTTTACAATTTTTTTTATTGTAGACTAGCTGTTACCTGCTACATCGTAAATATAAAGTTGAATTGTTTTTTTTTTATTAAAATAAGTATTTTTTAAAGTAAAATGTATTAGTCGTTAGGACATAAATAGGCTATTTATCGTTTCAAATATGCAGACGAAATCTAGAACAACTAGTATGATAGAATCCATTTATTATGACTCCGCATTGAGCAATCACTTATTATGAAGTTAACTAGCTGTGTCCGCGGTATATATTATTCTGGTGTATAAGCTGTATTACTGTAAAGTTTTATCAAAATCCGTTTAGATTTTGCGTAAAAGAGTATCAAACATCTATCCATACTCACAAACTTTCTCGTATATTATATAAAAAGATTCTATACATAATGCTCCAGGCCACCTTCGAAGCCATTCACCTTCAAATAACAGCACTACGACAGACCAACTGCTGGCCAACTCGCCCTCCGCGCGGCTCCAAAGTCAATCTCCGTCCAATAATTCCTCCAATAGCAGGATCAAAGGATCACCGCTAAGGTAAGTTTATAATTTTCTATATCAAAATTCAAATTTTTCAAATTCAAAATATCTTTATTTATGTATGACTGTTACAGACTCTAATGATTGTGAAATCTACCGTCAGTTCGGAATAATTTCGAGATGAGAGGAAATGACAGGAAACTCAGCTCGTATTCTTTTCAAATAATATTCAGTGTTGCGGCCTCTTTGACAGGTGTGCTTGCTGGCCGCTTATAAGACCTGACTAGGACAGACAGAACAATTGACTAGAGACAAATACGACAGACAAATACGGACGACAGTATAGAAATTTGACTAATTATATTTTACACTAGCTGTTCCCGCGACTTCGTCCGCGTGGAATATAAGCTTATTTTTCTAAAATAATAGATTTTTTCTAAAATAAAAGTAGCCTAAGTTACTCCCTATTACATCAGTAGCTGATGTAATAGGAGGTAGCCCTCAGCTACTCAGATCAATTTCAAAACTCTCTCATACTACGGCTTCGAATTGAACAATTATTTATTGTTGATGGTGGATGACCCATTTATGAAGCAAGGATAAAAGCTATAACTCTATATAATGTCACGCTATAACTAATACGATCAGGACATTAATGAAAAATTTTACAAAATTAGGAAAACGTACATATGTTATATAAGCAATTGATATTATTTGCCACTTATTTTGCTTAATTATTTTTAATTTATTATATCTATATTATTTTCTTATTCTATTCAGCTGGCTTTATGTTGTAAGGCGTATCTTGTAAGTTACTTATGTATACCGATCCCAGGTTATATGTACAGATTCCACAACTATTATGCACATCACATCCCTTGCAAATAAACGTTTCACGTTTAATTTACTTTCTATAACAATGGTATAATATTATTTTGTACTACATTTGCTATATTCATGTTCTGTTTATTTTATCTCTATAGACAAAAGTTAGTCCTTCCTGTATATCCTATATATCATATCCTATATAACCGATCGGTTTGATTCCTCTCACGCTACAAATATTTGTATTCATGAGTATCATTGTTTGTACCGTTCTGGATGTTTATCTACGTATTATATGTATGTATTTATTATAGTGTTTCTTTGTTTTCTATCAGTAGTCTTGTACCCATAATAGAATCCCTGCTTAACTTGGGACAAGATGGCACTATGTGTATCCTGAAATGTTGTTATTGTATTAGGTTGCGGTCAACGTCTCCGTCGCGCCGTATGCATTCCCCGGCGTGCTACGAACCCGAGCCACTCCCTCATCCTGCGCCACTCTACGTTGCCAACTACCAGCAGGTTAGTTATACAGTATTTATATTTATTTTAAATGATTGGTCTTTGTAATCTGTACTGGATGACTTTGATTACTGTGCGGAAAAAATAATTGATTGGATTTTAATAAAATTCAAATGAAACTAGTAAATAATTAAGCATCCGTGTCCTTAACTAGAATGACAGGCGTTCATTACGTTCGATAATATAAAAAAATATCTATGTTTGTTTGTATACTAAAGAGAGACAATTTGAAAACCTTCATCCCGACATTGTGTGATACAGGGGCCTCGGGGTCTCTTTGCCCAGCTACTGCTTAAGGTTGATTACCGTCACGTTAGTGAGGTGATGCAATGGTGAGCGGATCTTCTTCCTTCAAATACATTATGCCTTTTTCTTATATTTTTTGTGTAAGGATTGGGGCCTCGGGGGCCCTTTTCCCAGCTATTTACTCAGGTGGCCTATTGGGGTGAAGCATTCCTTATGTAAATAAAAACTTTTATTACTATTATGACGACTTTTATTACTATTATACTACTTATGACGGTCTTAATTTTTTTTTTTTTGTATATAAACGTTATTATATAATTTGTGTGCAGCAATACCCCGAGGCGGCGGACCCGAACGCCGACGTAGTGGTGCGGCTGGCGCGCGGCGCCGCAGGGTTCGGGTTTAGGATCGTCGGCGGCACCGAGGACGGCTCCAGGGTCGCCGTCGGATACGTCGTGCCAGGTGCGTACCACGCTTAAATAAAATGGTTTATATTATGTTAATTTTATGTGTGTTTATACCCTTAGATTTTTTAATTAGCTGGTTAGGTACCGTAGTATTATATGTCTATGTCGAAATAACAAAAAGCAATTTTCTTTTCGTAGTATGCTTTTTGTTTAAAATAGATTAAATATCCAGAGAATATTTATACAAAAGTCAGATGGAAATTGGGAAACAGGTGTAGGTATGTATGTGCGAGTAATATGAATACGTCGGGTGTTCGCAGGCGGTCCGGCGGCAGGGTTACTGCGTGCAGGAGATCTGCTGACGTCGGTGGACGGGCGGCCGCTGGGCGGCGCCTCGCACGCGCGCGCCGTCGCCTGCGTCGCGCGCGCCGCCGCCCGCGGACACGTGCGTACTACACCCACACTACACACTGCACACTACACACTACACACTACACACTCGCCACCTGCTGACGTCGGTGGACGGGCGGCCGCTGGGCGGCGCCTCGCACGCGCGCGCCGTCGCCTGCGTCGCGCGCGCCGCCGCCCGCGGACACGTGCGTACTACACCCACACTACACACTACACACTACACACTACACACTCGCGACCTGCTGACGTCGGTGGACGGGCGGCCGCTGGGCGGCGCCTCGCACGCGCGCGCCGTCGCCTGCGTCGCGCGCGCCGCCGCCCGCGGACACGTGCGTACTACACCCACACTACACACTACACACTACACACTACACACTCGCGACCTGCTGACGTCGGTGGACGGGCGGCCGCTGGGCGGAGCCTCGCACGCGCGCGCCGTCGCCTGCGTCGCGCGCGCCGCCGCCCGCGGACACGTGCGTACTACACCCACACTACACACTACACACTACACACTACACACTCGCGACCTGCTGACGTCGGTGGACGGGCGGCCGCTGGGCGGCGCCTCGCACGCGCGCGCCGTCGCCTGCGTCGCGCGCGCCGCCGCCCGCGGACACGTGCGTACTACACCCACACTACACACTACACACTACACACTACACACTACACACTCGCGACCTGCTGACGTCGGTGGACGGGCGGCCGCTGGGCGGCGCCTCGCACGCGCGCGCCGTCGCCTGCGTCGCGCGCGCCGCCGCCCGCGGACACGTGCGTACTACACCCACACTACACACTACACACTACACACTACACACTCGCGACCTGCTGACGTCGGTGGACGGGCGGCCGCTGGGCGGCGCCACGCACGCACGCGCCGTCGCCTGCGTCGCGCGCGCCGCCGCCCGCGGACACGCGCGCGCGCGTCGGTCGCCTGCGTCGCGCGCGCCGCGCGCGCCGCGGACACGTGCGTACTACACCCACACTACACACTACACACTACACACTACACACTCGCGACCTGCTGACGTCGGTGGACGGGCGGCCGCTGGGCGGCGCCTCGCACGCCCGCGCCGTCGCCTGCGTCGCGCGCGCCGCCGCCCGCGGACACGTGCGTCGGTGGACGGGCGGCCGCTGGGCGGCGCCTCGCACGCACGCGCCGTCGCCTGCGTCGCGCGCGCCGCCGCCCGCGGACACGTGCGTACTACACCCACACTACACACTACACACTACACACTACACACTACACACTCGCCACCTGCTGACGTCGGTGGACGGGCGGCCGCTGGGCGGCGCCTCGCACGCACGCGCCGTCGCCTGCGTCGCGCGCGCCGCCGCCCGCGGACACGTGCGTACTACACCCACACTACACACTACACACTACACACTACACACTACACACTCGCGACCTGCTGACGTCGGTGGACGGGCGGCCGCTGGGAGGCGCCTCGCACGCGCGCGCCACACTACACACTCGCCACCTGCTGCGTCGCGCGCGCCGGACGCGTGCGCGCGCGCGCACTACACACTACACACGTGCGTACTACTACACACTACACACTACACACTACACGCCACCTGCTGACGTCGCGGGCGGCCGCTGGGCGGCGCCTCGCACGCGCGCGCCGTCGCCTGCGTCGCGCGCGCCGCCGCCCGCGGACACGTGCGTACTACACCCACACTACACACTACACACTACACACTACACACTACACACTACACACTCGCGACCTGCTGACGTCGGTGGACGGACGGCCGCTGGGCGGCGCCTCGCACCTTCACTATACACTCGACCACGGACCGGCAGTAGACATGTGTGTTTTTTGTATACCGAGCATGCAGTTCTCCCAATACACATATACTATTGTCTATGAACACCTGAAACACCGAATATCTCCTATCTTAACAAACTTTAACTTTCTTGAAAAAGTAACAGTTACAATAAACAGAACAGTTTAATTTTAAACCTCTCATGTATTAAACAGGTAACACTCGGCGTTAGACACAATCGCGCCGATATACAACCAATGGGACTCCCCACTGTGGTGGCGCCACATCCCCATCAACCTCTACTTACGTAAGTACTTTTTACTCAAGTCGTGAGTTCGAATCTAGTCAGCACCAAAAAAAACGGAACTTTATATTATACTACTGCTAACATTTTTAAATATAAATTTTTACTGGAGTATAATTTATACTATGTTATTTACATTAACTACGTGTTACGGTGTTACTTTAATTCAACCACATGGCAGTTGACTTGTAATAATATATAAATAATAACAACAAATCAAGATCATTCAAACAGCGCCATCTAGTTCCCAGCTAAGCAGAGTTCGATTTCTCGCATGGTGTAAACATTTGAATTCATGAATATAAGTGTATGTATCGGTCTGAGTATTGACAATATATATCATGTATGGACTTACAAAAAAAAAGAATATAATTATATCTGTCAGATTTATAGTACCAATAACATAAGTTCTTAGCTTGGTACCAGATGGCGCTGTATGAATTGTCCTTGTTTATCATTAATATAATTTCAGGGCGGACCCATCGATGCACCAAATGGCTCCAGCTGCATACAACATACTGCACCCCGCGCCGATGTACCCGCCCCCACATGGACCCATGTAAGTTTATATATATACATATAATTAAAATAATAAAACAGTTGTCATTGGTACCGGGTCACTATACAACTATTCAATAAAAAATAAAATTTTAAATTCTCGACTCAACGCTCGAGGACCATATGTTCTTTACAATAGGGTCCGTTTTCGTTTGCTTGATTCTCTACTATTATTGTGCAAATAATTAAAATACATGTCCTAGGTAATATTGTTTTATTGGATGTAAGTTTAAAAACTCTTCTATCACCAATTACATACTGTAATAAGCCGCGACTTTGTATCTTCGTAACTTTTTTATTTGTAAACCAATTAGAATAATACTAACATAATTTTTAAGCGAAATTTAATAATAATAATAATAATAATACTATTTATTACGGACTGAAAAATAATTACAAAAGATATGTGCTAAACAAATGGCGACCTTATCTCAAAGCAATCTCTTACAGATAACCTGGGCTTGTAACTTACTAGCGTAATATAATAAATAAATGAAAATCCTGTAATTGGTGATAGAAGACTGAAAATTTAGGGTTAAATGTATTTTTAATAACACATTATAAAAAATAAAAATATGTCCTAAAATAAAAAACAAATGTTAATAGACATCCTTATCACTTAGGGGTATGAAAAATAAATAGTAGCCGATTCTCAGATCTACAGAATATGCAAATAAAATTTCAGAAAAATCGATCATGTCGTTTCGGAGAAGTATATTAACTAACATTGTGATACGAGAATTTTATATATTAGATAAACCTCTCAGTTTATTACAAACAGTCATACTTACGAAAGAAATATTAGTGTAGACAAACCAAACACGCAGTATGGTTATCATTTCATTGCAAAACTAAATATAATAATAATAATCTCAAGATAACTCACACAGCGCTATCTAGACCCAAGGTAGCTAGAGCTTGTGTTATGAGTACTAGACAACTGATCCTGGTAGGGTTGCTATATAAGGGTGGTGCTTGTTAGGCAAATGATATGTACGACATTTGAGTGTATTCAGACTCGTTTATTATTATAATCAATGCTTATAAGTATATAGTGTTATTATATTACATTCATCATTATGATTCCGCCCTGTTGAACGTTTTGATGATTATGTAAGCACAGATTATATCGCCTGCAAAACCGTTAGACTACTGCTATTGATTAAAACAACAATTTGACTATCCTTATTTAAAACAAAATAAGATTGAAACGTCACAGATTTGACAAAAACGTCTTATTTTTTTATCCTTATTTAAAACAAAATAAGATTGAAACGCATTTGAAAAAATACAACTGGCGCGCGCATATTGCCTCTTCACTCGCTGCGACAGACGACAGACATTCGAAATGTTAATAAATAGAATTTATATTTCGTAAAATAACATTTAAACATGTAGGTACGGCGTACAATACGATGGTGCAGTGGGAGGATGGGCGCCCGTGCCATATGACGTCACCGTCACCAGAACAGAGGGCGAAGGCTTCGGATTCGTCGTCATCTCCTCCACCAACAAGGCTACCAGCACCATCGGTAAGTCTTTTTTTTTATCCTATCTGTCATGCCTTATGGCTATAATCAGATTGTTATTATTCTTATTTATTTGTTTAACCAGTTGGTTGTATATTGAATATTTTTTCAATTTGAGTATTTAATTGAATTAGTGCTAATTGATAGTTTGTATTCACATACTTCAACTTAAAATGTAAAGTAACAATAAAATTATTTAAAAGAGCAACACGCAAGTTTCTTACTCGTTCTTCTTATGATGAGACAGCTTTCCGAATGAGCGGTAGATTAAAAAAAATGTGATGACTATTCAAAAGTGCTACAATGTAAGTTTAGTTGAATAAATGATTTTCTATTCTTGTATTTTTTTCACACTATTTTTTTGTTTCAATTCACAGGTCAGTTGATCCCCAACTCGCCAGCATCCCGATGTGGCCTCCTACACGTCGGAGACACCATCGTGGCCATCAACCGGATACCGATCAGGAACCTGCCTCATCCGGAAGTGGTGGCGCTGATCAAACACTCGGGCACAACGGTCACACTTACCGTTCTACCGCCGGACGGTCGAGTTGATTGAACAGTCGGTATTTATAATTATAGATCAATCATGGTCATATAATGTTGTAGTGACTTCAAAATGGATCTACCACCATTGTTATAGAGCTTTATATTCTTTGACAAACCTATTCAGAAGTATTTTAATTTATTTACTTCAGGCAAATTAATATTATTTATATAACAATATCGACTCATATTATATGTACCTTAAGAAGTAACATATATAGAAAATAATAAAATATTAATAACGTCTTTATGGTCACCATACTCACTATGGCACGATAGTGCCGGTACACCAGTCCTTTCGGCCAGTAGTCTTCCTTCATAAAAGTGGACAGCATGTACCCCCTACATGCTGTCCACTCGAGGCATATACGTATTGAAGCTCGCGTTGTGACTCTCTTCCTGCTGCGTGTCACCCTCAGGTTTAGGTTACTCTTGGTCCAGATGTCGACGTGTCCCGTTCCGTGATGTAATCGTGTAGTGTGTTACTTAATATACATTAAACAACAGATTAAAAATATCTTTACTCATGTAGATCTATTACAAACACAATGTGTTTGTATTGAATGATTAATCACATCTACCGTCAGTTAGCAATTTAATTAGAGTCAAGAATAACTGACTGGAAACACTCTTTTCAAATGTGATTCTACATCATTAAGTCTTTAAAAGAGACAAACAAACTCAATTCTACTTATACGTTGCATTTACTAAAAACTTAAATTGTTTCGACTTTGATATTTTCTCAAATTCTGATCGAATGTGAAAGATCCTTATTTCAACGGAATAAAGTTTAAAATATATTAAAACCGTAAGCGAACCAACAGCTTATATTTTGACACCAGCATAGTTTTTAGGAACCACTGGGTTTACCATCAAAATTAATTTTTTGAATGGATAATCATAATAACAAACTAATTTTTAATGGATGATAATGGAATGGTACACCCTCCTGCTCTAACAGGGATGCCTATTTATTGATATTCCACTGTTATGGGTATTCCCATAAGATGTGAATACCATGTTAGCCATACGGCTTGGTATAGTGTTTATTTCTAGTTTTCTAAGTCAATTTGGTAATTCGCAGCTATGCTGTTGCTACAGCATCTAAATTGTAACTATATACATGCCTCTTATGGTCTGTCTGTATATTGTTATATATTTCAATCGACAAATCTCAGTAAAATAATTATGTTGATATTTTCTACATTTACTGATATCTATATTATTTATTATTATAAAAATAAATGTAACTAATGATTACATTTCGACAAAAAAAATTTTTCGTCTCGCGTTCTTTACTGATATCTATATTGTTTATTATTACAACAAAAATATCTATATCAAACTTCTTTCTTTCATCATCTTCATCTTCTATGCGTTTCGTCTGTTTTCTTCTTACGATTCTTTTTCTTTCGCAATTTTTTTAGCAATATTTGTTTAATAATGAATCTTATTTAGTTGTAGAATAAATAGTATTAGATAATTAGTGTTGTTAAAAGAAATATAGCTTTAATAATGAATATTTTAATATGTAAGGTTGTGGTATGTTTGCCAAACTATAAAACAGCTGTCATCCGTCCAAATTGTAATTGTGCCTTTATTATATATGATATATATATATGATATACAATATATATGTGTTTACAGTCATACTTGACTTTAGACATATAATAAATATACATAAAATACTATTATACAATGTCATCAGTGAAGTTCTAACAGTACTTTTTTTAACGAAACGAATCTTCATAGATTAGGCAAGTGGTATATGTGAGATTCTTATTGACCAAAACACTCCGGTGTTCCTGTTCGGTCTGTCAGAGGCCTTGGAATATACTGCAATATTTACATGATACTGCAATAAAAATATACAGGTACCTCTGTAGCCTTGGTCCCTGTTCTATCAGTACTAAAATGTTAAATGTCTTTTTTAAAAATTGTAATAGCAAACAAGCTGACGGTCACCTGATGGTAAGAGATACCCGTCGCGTATATACATGAATAGCGCTATATGATGTCATACTTGATACAAGTACTAATATCTCACTTATCTTGTAATTTACACTATTTGAATGGGTTTTTTTATTTGTTAGTCTTTATTGCACCTTAAAAAAAATAAAAAACAGTATACATATACAGTAAGTAGGTACAGAAGGCGGTCTTATCGCTAAAGCAATGTCTTCCAGACCAAACTTGACAGCCTCGGTGGTCTAGTGGTTTAGCACGCCGCTTTACTATCCGATGGTCGTGGGTTCGATTCCTCGCACGATACAAACATTTGTATTCATAAGTATGATTGTTTGTATCGGTCTGGGTGTTTTCTATGTATAATATGTATTTATTTACAAAATAAAAATGTATCCATATATTTATATCAGTTGTCTAGTACCCATAACACAAGCTCTGCTTATCGTGGGACTAGATGGCGCTGTGTGAATTGTCCTGAGATATTATTATTATTATTATTAAAATGAAGGTTTTATTTTGGGTTTTTATCATATGTATAAATTACCGAAATCATAAAATTAAGTACTTTCAGAACTTCACAACCGATGTATATTCGCTGCCTTTACATTACACGTTCTTCCGCGTGACACGTGTTTCACGCGCGGGAAAGCCAGCGCACTCAATCGTGATTGCATTTATCTATTTTTTGTGTTCGCAAATTCGCGTATATAGGAATAAGAAAAATTTATGTCAATCAAAATCAACATAAATTAGAATCTTTTTGGAAAAGGTAATGATTTTTTTTACTGTATACCCTATACAGTAAAAAAAATCATTACATAACTGTATTACGGCAAGGTAAGAATCTAGGACCATATATATAATATCTTTCTTGTCTTTTCTTTTAACATTTCATTTTCAATTCCATCGATTTAATATTCCAAATTATGCTTTTGTTCTATAGTCAGATGTTCGTATTTTGCAATTATAATTATTACAAAAAGTCGCTAAAGCAAGCACGATTGAAAGACACGGGAATGCGCCAGCTGGTGGCGCGCGCAGTCCTTCTCATTCTCCTTGTTTCCATCCACAATCTTCTCCGTTTGCAAGCATATTCGCGCGATAAAGACCGTACGTGTAATGGCAGCTAATATGAAATCATTAAAGAGATGACATCCCTGCAGATGCACTGTAAATCTTTAAAAAAAAGCCAATTCTGCCAAGTATTAAAAAAATAAAACAAACTTCATTGTTAAATGTTATTGTATGTAAATAAAATTAATGAATGGCATAATAAATGTACCATTTTTAAAATATTAGCGTAAGTTTTTAAATTCTACTTTATAATGTTTTAATTTCATTTGTATAGGACCTGTGATTGAAGTGCTTTCAAATTGTGTACCACAGATATTAAAAAATGACAGTATTGTCAAAACAGTAGACCAGAGGTTCCCAAACATTTTTGTGTCGTAGACCCGTTGCCAAATTTTTCGGTTTTGGGTAGACATCAATACCAAGAATGGTATTGATTTTTGTAAATTTCTACCTGTAGCAAAGTTTAGTATTAAAAACAACAAGATGACCGCTGTCGTAGACCCCTTGCAGTTTGTCATAGACCCCTGGGGGTCGATATAGACCACTTTAGGAATCACTACACTAGACGATAGCGATATCTATTCTAAACACAGAGTTCAGTTCGAATCCTGTCATGAAAATATTTCATCCGAGCACTTTAATTTTTTTATTTGAATAAATATAATAAAATTGTATGCAATACGTTTTAGGTATTATAATATATACCATATGTATAAAAATACACAGGTCCTAGTTATGTATAAATAAAATTGTATATTTAATTCTGCAGTCTACAAAATTGTTCTTTAAGATTGGAGAAATAAATATAAATAAACCCATAACTTTTAAGTTTTACGATGTAAAGAGCTTATTACACTATCAAATATACGAGAGATCTTGTTTTGTCTTGTCTTGATCTTGTTACTAAGGCTATTGAACTGTTATTAAGCATCCATTTTGATGTGATCATGATGATTGATTTTGATATGATTCGAGGATTAAATATAAATAAAACTATATTAAGGAGTTGGTTGTAAGTAATAATTACAATATCGCGCATAGTACTGATTATTGACGACCTCGGTGGTCTAGCGGTCTAGCACACCGCTTTACGACCGATGGTCGCGGGTTCGATTCTCCGCACGGCACAAACATTTGTATTCATAAGTATGATTGTTTGTATCGGTCTTGATGTTTTCTATGTATATGTATGTATTTACAATAAAAAAAAACTATGTATATGTATCAGTTGTCTAGTACCCATAACACAAGCTTTAGCTAGCTTAACTTAGGTCTAGATGGCGCTGTGTGAATTATCCTGAGATTATTGTTAGTGTTTATTTTCAACATATAGTCATACCCTGAAAGTGACGTAATGTCGTAAACATAGTGGTTTAGTACCCCGACATGGAATGCGAAAAGTTATGAGTTCTAATGAGAACACCAAAAAACTTTGAGTGTCAATGTATATTTCTAGCTTTCCTGTAATAAAAACACCTGACAGTAAAGCCAAATTATTCTGAGAGACAGCAGTAAGATCGACCCATGTCGTTGTTTTCAAATATATCCAGTTAAATGTGTACATGTTCATATTATGAACTAATACCAAGACATTAAGAATTCTGTTGAAAAATTTTCATGACAGACATGAAAATTTTTCAACAGAACTTTAATATTTTTATTTGACTAAATGTAATTAACTAATTTAAATGCTTACCCCTTACCCCATCTGGGATTACAGTTATAAAGGTAGATTTTATAGTTTTTGAATGCAATTGCCCTACAATTTATTTATGACAGACAGACAGATTATAATATAATAAAATTCCAATAAGATAATTCACAATGTCATCTAGTCTCAAGCTAAGCAGTGCTTGTTTTATGGGGACTACATGTTTTTAACTAAGCCCAAAGAGTATTTTAATGTACGCAATTTCGAAAAAAAGAATTAAATACTTAAATACATTTTTTTTGTAAATACACACATAATATTCATATAAAATACCAATACAAACAATCATACTCTTGAATACAAACGTTTTCCTGCGAGGAATCGAACCTATAACAGTCGAAAGTAAAGCGCTATACTAAATCGCTAGACCACCGATTTTCAATTCCTTTTACACTTTATAGCTATAATGATAACTGCTTCATAATGTACATGTCGTCGATCGTATATTTGATAATGTAACAAGGACCCAAGAGCGAAGCCCTTGAATAAAATTAACTTATTACTAAATTTGACTGACTTATCAATTTGGAGATCTTAAATTAGAATCAATTTTCGGACTATATATGTGGGACCACCGAATTTTATACTCTAGTACATAAGTATTACCTTTATTATTAAACTTCTAGAACGTTCTAGTTTATTAAAAAGCAATAATTTGTGCCTTTATACTATAATAATCGTAGTCTTGCCTATTCAAGATGTTGTATAAATTTTTTATATAATATATACCTTGTCACTTGTATAAAACAATTCCCAAAGATGAAAAATCTAATATTTCGCAATAATACGCCTATTTGGGTGGGATATAATATTTTTGAAATGTATAAATAATAATTGAACAATTATATGAGTTTAGTATGGAAAATAGCCCAAATTGTATTTCAATAAATCATGTTTTTATTTACTTTGTTTTTTTTTCTCGAACCCTATTGCTACCACTTATATTTATTTTTCTTAAAATGTTTTTTTTTTATGTAAATGTAAACAGGCTTTCGCCACACCTGATGGTAATGTAATTGGTTTTAGAAGATCAGAATTGTACTATTAGTAATGATACACCTCGAAACGGCTTGACTGATTATGACCAAAATTTCATCGAAGGTTGATCTTCAGGCATCCATTTAACACTAAAAAAAATCCAATCTGTCAAGGTCGAGTTTTTAAGAATAAATGCGCTCTGCTCAACATGTAATCTGGTATGTAAACAACACACAGGAAATAAACCTAGTGTAATATACTCTTGTTGAATATGATATCACATTTGGGCCGTTGTGCGTGTTGAGCTGACGCTGTTGAAGTAGTCAAACTCCTCCCAGAAGCTCAAGCTTCCTGGTTACTTCATAGACTTCACGGAGCAACCTCACCGTTCCAAGGATTTGCGTACATTGTGTGGCCACTGCAAGCACTCCAGGATTACGTGAGCACCCGTTTCTCTGGCTTCAAAGTAGAGAAGGCTTCGAGAAAGTGTCTGGAGCACCCATTGTGTACAAGTGTTTGTTTAAGAGACAGTGGCCCGTTATTGTCCCTAGATTTTGCCTATTTAGGTTAAGTAGACATTTTGTTGGTAAGTGTGCCGTCACCATTACGGAGGATTACAATGCCACGCCTACGTAATTATAAATAATCCCGTAATTACACTGCTATCCTTCTCCCTAAACAATACAGCTTGGAAATTAAGCTACGTGGCGAAGTAACCTTTTTTGCCACCACGTAACCGTGGTAAGGTGAGGCAAAACACAAAGCAGGCAAATTTTTATATACGCTACATACATCAACATATCCTTAACGCTGCCAAAAACAGACGAACTTCTTAGCATTCCATGTATTCACCGTGCCGGGTCCATCGTGTGGCAGAGAGGGAGCAGTTCCCAGAAAGAACGGCGTAAGCGTTATATCATCATTCATAAACTTATTCACGCAGTGTGTATCCTGTCTTCAAATTCGCTTATTTATACATCTAAATATAAATGTGTATACAATTTATATCGTGGCTAGATAATATAAACATTAATGTGGGTCATAAAAGGAACCCTGCAGCTGTTACAACTTCAAGTAACAATAATACATTATCTAATACGAATTGATAACGTGTGGCATTTATAGTTAGGATGTATAAATTACTGTACCTACCTATACTATATATCTAGGTATAATGATAAAGTATAAGTCTTAATGTATTTTAGAGAAAGTTTTTTTTATCTTGTAAATGAAGTAAATCAAAAAATGTTTATAAAACAATTAGATTACAATAATACAGTATTGGGATAACCTGGTAAGCCATCCATATCCATTATCATACCACAGATTTGTTTTTAATAAGACAAATTTAAAATGTTAATATCCAAATATAGCTGAAATAATTTTAATATATAACAAAAGTTACTTATTAGAACAAAAAAAATATGAACATAACATTGAACGAAATTAAAAGATTAAAAAATAAAACTTGGTATATTTTTTTGATGTAATTGGAATTTCAAGGAAATTTGCTGCCCTGTGATGATAAATGATAACCGTCTATATATATAAATAGCACTATATGTATCATGACAGCACATTATCACGTTACACCCATAACACTACTCGTGGGTTGCCATACCGGTGAACTATGATGCCTCATCTCCTGTAATTTCATTTCTTTATCGTACCCTCCAACAGAGATTACAAAGCAAGCTTCTTGATGGCTGAAATGGGTTTTGAAGTATTAACGCAGATTTTTATAAAGTCTACCATGGGACCTTGGGAGATGGGAATTGTTAGTAATGTGAACTAATAACGACATTGCTAGCAATGTTCTATGTCAGGATGAACTCCACGCGGTTCCCCTAGGAAACCATCGTGATAAATTCATGGTGAATTTACCACGATGGTCTAACCTGACCTCATACTCATCTTATCACCCTCCACTGGCATTAAGCTTACACCGTTAGCGCAGGCGGGCACCATTCCATTATCATCCACAAGAACCATGATACCTACTGTCAATCCCAATTCACATAAAACTACACAATCCAGATAATAAAAATGGAGAATACAAAAAAAAGAATGCCGCAATAAATTTTAATCCACAGATAATTTACAAATTACAACACAGAGCGTGCTACCCTGACAGGTGCACTAACGGTTCTACCAGCAGGAGGCACGGCATGTTCCAAAATCCAGCCAGTATGTCTGTCAATCCTGGTAAATACGTCAGGTGTGCTGTCGTCACAGGATACGTAGTACGATGACAAACCCGCTAGGATCTCACCGATGATTAGAGGTGCACCGGAGTCAGCAGAGCAAATACTGGTGCCATTAGATGCGGCGCAAAGCACTTCTGTTGAAAACAAAACATGAAGGACATTTTAGCCGCTTATGAACGTCAAATTTTATTAATATTTTTTCCCCTGTAGTCCAGTTCAGAATATAAATCCAATTGAGAAGAACTGGCAAGAAACTCAATTGAATTACTTTTTTTTAAAGCCAGTTTATTTATAATGTATTTATATAGGTGTCTGTCTAACAATAAATGAAAATCCCGTGCATGAACAACTATTATCATGCTCGTCATTCAAGTAATCGTTTAGCGAGTAATTAGGCTTTTGATTATAGACTTTAAATCGTTTAGAGTGTCATATGCACTCGCCCCCTATCGCCCTAAATCATCGCTGTGAAAACCAGTAGTCCGAAAAAAAACATAGTGGTGAGATGATAACAATCATGCTTCACCTCCATACCAGTAATTTCACTGGCCTTCAACTGAAATACAACTTACAAAGCAAGCTGCTTAGAGGCTGAAATACGAGTCTGAGGAACTCTTGTAGACGAGTTTATAAGTGTATATAGTAAAAACTTACGGTCATAAATGGTCACACTCTCAATGCTTTCGTAGGCAGCTGCACACTGCTCCTGTCCCAATACGTTAGAGTCGATTTTCTCCAAGCTGGTAAGCTGTGACCCACCGTCCTGATAAAACAGTTATTACCTTAATAATTATCATATTTTATATATTATACACATATTAGTCGTATGTATTGTAATTTATTATAATCGTATATGTTTATAACTTCCTTGTCGTAAACATGTGTTTATTTATCTTTACTCATTTAATTAACTACCTTACCTACCTAATTCACAAATGTACGGTACATTTGTGAATTAGGCACAGTTCATCCCAAATATTGAGTGGTAGAGATTGCTTACTATTGAGACGTTCAAGAAATGAGTGTATTCCTTCTTAAAGGCCGGCAACGCATTTGCAATTCCCCTAGTGTTGCAGGTAATCACTAAACAAATGACTTAAGTATAAAAGTGAAGAAGAAAAAGGAAGGGCCAATATATTATTAGGTATAACATGAAACTAGACTAGGTGAAAAAGTATTGATACTCACAGCTTCAAATCCCCAGCTGATGATCTCTACAGGATATCCAGCAGGGATGTAAGTCTGCTGTGGGGGTATGTACACGACGTTAACTGTTGGTGATATAATAAGAGGCGTGGCCAACACCACGATGGCAATGTCCGCAACGCGAGGGTTTTCGACATAATCGGGGTGTATGATCAACTCGGCGACGCGGACCACGCTGCCACCGAAGAGGCTGGTCGTGGATCCAGCGCGGATCCCCACATTTTCTTGGTTTGCATCACTGTACACAAATGTATCTTATTAATATTATTACTTATAAACGCGAAAGTTTGTGAGTATGGATTAGTTATGCATCGTCTTAACATAAGAAAACAATCTAATTCTATACTAAACGGAAGTTATAGATTCTACGTCTATACTTAATAAATAATAACTCATAGAAATAATTAAATATCTTATTTTTAAATACAAAATCAGTCGAGTTTCTTACCAGTTCTTTTCAATTGAATCTGTATAGGTACTGAACTGGACGGTAGGGAAAAAATATTAATATAAAAAATTTAAAAGCGGCTAATATGTCCTACATGAATAAATTATTATTGATTCGATTTGATTTGATTTGTGTCTGTCTGTTATCTTTTTATAACTAAACAGGTGAATTGATCCTAATGTAGGAAGATAAATGGGTATATATCGAAGATTATCTTTTATCACAAAAAATTCGGTCCAGTTGAGTTCAAATTTTATTATTAGAATAAGTCAGTGAATTAGTATATTACTTACGTAAAACAGTAAGCTGAGGTGAGTACATGCCATGATGAGATGAGAGAGCCCACGCACCGCTGCACGGTTGTATTGGATCCTGGATTGTAGTACTCCACGGATACCAGGAATGGGTAGTCGAAGATTGTAGTCGGTGTGCCACCTACTATACGACTGACAGACGATGCTGCCGCTGTTGACAAAAGGTGGATTAACTATGCGAATTTTAGTTGTTTTTTTTTTGTATGGATGATAATGGAATGGTGTACCCGCCTGCGCTAACGGTTTACACTGGCGGGGCACCAGTGGAGGATGATAAGATATGCATAAGGTCAGGTCAGTTAGCCCATCGTAACAAATTCACTCATCTCTCTGGCGGTATCGAGCCACTCCGCTTGAGGCGAGACTTCGCCTCGCTTTGTGTGTTCTACCGATTATACAACGGACTATGTTCTGAGGAATTGTTCGACATGATGCCGACAGCCACCTTTTACCACTGCACCGCTCGCCATCGACAGGGAATTCATCCCCACACACTGGAACCTAAGTAGTCCCGAACAGTGCGGTTTCAGAGGAGTTTCCTCCCGCGTACACTTAGATTGTGGAATGAACTTCCTGCCGAGGTTTTCCCACGAGACTACAGCATGGGGTTTTTCAAGAAGGGTATATTAAGGTTTCTTAAGGGTCGGCAACGCGCAAGTGATACCCCTGGTGTTTCAGGCGTTCATAGGCTACGGTAACCATTTACCATCAGATGGGCCGTATGCTTGATTGCCACCATAGTAGTATAAAAAAAAAACTAACAACCCCCTTCCCCCCATTTTAGGTGATAATGACATGATGCACTCAGCTGTATTAACGACATACGCTGGTAGAGCATAGTGAAGGATGATAGGATAAGCATGAAGTCTGGTCTATTGTTTCACCTTGGCGAATATATAAGTAATAAACTACTGTGTTTCCAGGAGGAGTGTAAAGCCCTCACCAACGGCTATAAATGACTTTGATAAAAATAATGAAATGCCAAAATATGGGCGATCGGGATATGGTGGACACAGAAGAGCAAGTGAAAGGCTAGGCCTTTGTCCTTGAAGCGGTCGCCGTAGCCGGAACCGCCAGTACAATATCATGGAAGTCGACCAAATATGGGGACACGGGGCCAGTAGTCCCCAGTACTACAGGTAAGACAATATGACATTCTATTACTAACAATCCCCACTTTTCAACAAGTGGACCGTTGAATTATTTGCCATTATGCTTACTGATATTATAAATGCAAAAGTACCTAACTCTGTCTGTCCGTCCGTCTTGAATTCATGTCAAAACTACCGATCTGATTTGGTACACAGATAGTCTAGACCCTGAGAAAGAACGAAAGGATATAGGCTACTTTTTAATGCGAGAAAAAAATTGTAAGGGGTTGAAAAGAGTGATGATAGTTGTATGGAAATATCAGCTTGAAACTTATTTTATAGGCCATTGGTTAAATATAGATAAATATGATATTCAAAGTTTGAACATTTTAAATATACCCTTAAGAGACGGAAAAATAAAGTAGGGGATAATAGTTTACATGGAAATTCGTCATTTTTGAAGCTAGAACGATTAAACGTTTTCTTTGAATTAGATCACTGAATATTATTTCTTTATTAGGTCAAGGTCACTATAACACGCGGACGAATTCGCGGGCACTGCTAGTAATTATATAAAAAAAAACTCTCCAAGGTACTCACATACAGCAATGATTGCCAATATTAAATAAATGATCCTGAACACCATGATGATCACACCCCTCCAGTTTATCAAATAATTTGACAGCGGAAAGGCCGCGGCACTACAAAGCTATCATTATTGGATATAATATATCACTATCAATTATTAATGTGTCTAAGTTCTTAACTATACAGCGTGTTTATATTACCTAAAATGTGTTTTATCACGTGATTGGTCCCTCGAGTCGGATATATATAAAGGAAAATCCAGAGGACCGATTGTGTGCCGATTTATATTTTCGCAGACATTTTAAAATCCAATTTAGATTAGACATTAGATCTATCATCTAGACAACTAGTTACCTGTCTCCAGCACGAAATATACGTAGATATACATATATAGACATATAGGTACGTAAATTACGTATACATATTCGTAGATTATATATATAAAGACAGTTAAACATGAACGCGCAGTATAAATCTGCGGTAATTATATACAAAGTTAAAACTAATTTAAATGTGTTGTTGCAGTTAAGTAATTTCAAAGCTCAATATTTAAAATAAATTACTCTAACGACTATTTTGATATTTGATACATTTTAGAAATAAAACTAAACATCATCAGTATAATATTTATTAATTGGATCTATATAGAGTTGTAAATAACGAAGATAAATAATGAAGATAACGCATTACATTATCACAGGCCAATAATTATTATATTGTATTCTTAGGACTTATGTGTTATATTACTAACGATTGCCGCCGCGGTTAGAAAGAAAAATAGTTTTATAATTGACGATACCATATTATATTACCTGATGTATCTAATGTTATGAAATAATAACACAGCAAAGAAGCATGAGATCCCTAATGAATGACTATGTCGTAAAAAGGTAAACATAAATATTTTGAACAGCTGTCGGGGGAGAGTTAATGATATTATATAAGAGCCTCTATCTGCTCTAACGGGGTCTCCCCCTCCGATCGATTCCCCGTCCAATTCAAACGGGGATCGACGGCGTGAGCTGAGGTTCGAACCCCCTAGTGGTGCCCTCAGACTAAAGTCGTATCCGTCAGGCAGGAGTTGGCCTTCAGCCGCTCCATAAGTCCTTCCGCGGGTTTGGAGTGCCATCTGCACTCGCCCCTAACATCCGGTGAAGCTGTAAAGGCCAGCTGCGGCCAACAGCATTAGAGTGGTCAGAAAAAAAAAATAATAATAATAACGTGGTCAACATGTTAGCGGCGCACCATTGGTCAACGGGTGATCATGTAGAGGTCGAACTGACATAAATAATAATAATAATCATTTATTCAGAAAAAAAATAGTACAGAGTAAAAAAGAAAATTAAAAACTAATAATCGTCTATATAAAGTGATTGATTTCTATGCGATTTCCTAGTGGCCACCGTTACTTCGTGACTATGGCCTGATATCTCTTGCCCATTTTTTAAGTTGCTGAAAAATAATTTATTTTATTAGTAGAAAGAAGGCACAAAAGAGACTATCTATATATAAGAATAGTATGTACCTATAAACATATTAAAAAAACAAGAATATGTCATTGTCTTTTGCTGAACAAATTATATAAAATTTCAAGTACCTATTATCAAAATTTATCAAAATTTATAAGTTATGGGAAATCAAATAGCCAGAGGCATTTTACACGATTTTGGAGGATATCATTGTGCTGGTGACACAATAACTAACAGCAGACGTAAAAAAGTAACAAACCCAAATGAACAGTACAACAGAAAAACTAGAAAAGTCAATAAGCCCAGAGTTCTCAAAAAAAATAGAAGCATTGAAAGTAAGAAATTTAGATCATTATTGAAAGGAGGTACTCCAGTGATGTTGGCATTTTTGTCTTCGGAATCTATATACCCATTTGAAATACGAAGGAGACACAATTTAAGGCATTGTTATTCAGAAGAAAAACTATCAAGACCCTGCCATCGACCCTGTGAAAGAGTTAAATCGTTTCCTTGTGCTTCATATTGCTCTGAATGTGACAAGAAATCAGTAGAATTAGAAAATTTTAAGTAAAAACTTTGTCCCATTTTACATTAATTAAAGTATTATATTTCTCATTTACGATATACGTTTATTATTAAAACGAGTAGGAATTGAGGGAAATTTACACTAAAAGGTACTCTGTGATTTATAATGACATATAGTTTTGGTAAAACATATAAATATAGTGGCAACACTGTATACTGGCGCGCCTTCGTACAAGGTGAACGTGTTTCGCTCGTCGTGTATCACTGGAAATCAAAGTATTCATGTTTTTTCTGCATTTATTGCATTAAACCATTATTAATCCTTTTTGTGACGTTTTAGTGATTATGTGTTGTTATCTCATGTGTGGTTGGAGTATATGATAAGGGTAAGATAACCGTATTATTATAAATATTTTGTCTTGTATCTTATTAGTTTTAACTAGAGGCATGTACCGTGCTGTTGTCGTTTTAAACTATGTTTTACTCATTATATGGGCTCCCAATTAGATTACTATTCAGTTGTTTATCATTTTTGCATCCTGACACGTTTATTTATGCAACTATTATCACTGCTAATGTGTACATTCGCTAAGTAAGTTATAGTAATGTTTTCGTAAAAAACGTCATTAATGTCCAAGTTATCTTAATTTTGTCACTCTACGCGGACTTACTAAGATATACTATTCTTATAACCTATTAGAATCTTATTAGAAAACATCCCCACAAGTATTAAAAAAACTTTTTAAAACTACCTACTAAATTAGCTGTGATTTGTATTTCGGCTCTAAATAAATTAAAATAAGAAACATAATTATTAATATATTATTTTAGGCATTATCTCATGATACACTCAAAATAAAAAAAAGTTTATTACACCTGACATAAAGATTAATAAGTGTTTTAAGATGATTTCTTAGTTAATAAACCATTAAAGCCAAAGTAACCCACTGCCTTATGTTTTATACACTATTTTAAAAAGTACAACATATATTAACTTATTTAAACTCCAATTCAATTCAATTCAATTTATTTATTTACTGGAACATGTGTACATAATGGTCTTAAGATTATAATAGTTCCAAAACATGCCCTGCCGTTTCTGTAAAATCTTACAATAATATTTATTACATTTACATTATTATCACATTATTATATTTAAAATTATTAATACAATACATTATTATGAAATATATATTTAAAACTATTAATACAATCCATTATTATCATTTAAATAATCATTTGTGGAATAATAACATTTATTTAATAATTCTTTAAATAATTTATAAATTGTTTATTATTCAAATTTCTATAATTGTCTGGAAGATGATTCAAAATTTTTATGGCCATACAATATACGTTATTTGAAAAAAGTGCCAATCTTTGTTTAGGGATATATATATGTCTACTTCTACTTTCTAATGTCACAGTTTCTCTTAAATATATGTGGGTATTTGTCAACGATGCACATTTCATATATATACAGACAAGGAAGAGGGAGAATATTAAGTTTTTTAAATAGTGGTACGCAGCTGTCCCTTATATGATCCACATAGTGCTCTGATACATTTTTTTGTATTTTAAATACTTTTTGTAAGTCTACAGAATTTCCCCATAATATTACACCATATCGTAGTAGTGACGAAACATAGCCATGATAACATGAAAGAGATGCTTGTAGGGTAGCAACTTGTCGAATTCTTTTTAGTACATAAACAAATCTATCTAATTTATTTATAAGCTTGTTTATGTGAAAATCCCATTTTATAAATTTGTCGATAGTTATTCCTAAAAAAGGGACACTATCTACTCTTGGTATTTTAATGCCATTACAAGTAATTTTTAAATTAATTGGAGCACTGTTATATGTCTGAAATTGTATTAGATTTGTTTTATTAATATTTAAATTTAAGTCATTTGTTGTAAGCCAACTTTCGATATCCTGAATAGTATTATTAATTTGATTTTCATAATTATTCTTATTGGAACATTTAACTAAAATTGTAGTGTCGTCAGCGAAAAGACATTTTTCGTCAGTAACATTTGGCAAGTCATTTATATATAACAAAAACATTAATGGTCCCAAAACAGTCCCTTGTGGAACACCTCTATTACTATCTCTATAATGAGATCTAAACGTCATTTTTTCTTTATTTATCATATTAATTGCAGTAATTTCAACACGTTGATGTCGATTTTCTAAGTAACTATTGATCCATTTTAGTACTACACCTCTAATACCATAGCAATATAATTTATCAAGAAGTCTGTCATGGTTAACAAAGGCTTTACTCATATCTAGAAAAAGAGATATATAGGAATTCGTTCATTTAGACATTCAGTTATATATTTAATTAAAGTAAAACATGCAAGTGTCGTAGATCTGTTTTTTATGAAACCAAATTGTTCATTTTTTAAAATGTCTGATGATATTATAAAATTATAGAGTTTATTATACATGACTTTTTCAAATACTTTAGACAGAACTGGAGGTAATGATATTGGTCGATAATTGTCTAAATTATTGAGATTGCCTTTTTTAAAAAGAGGTTTAACTATTGAGTATTTCAGACGTTTTGGGAATTCACCTTGTGTAAAAGACAAATTAATTATATAAGTTAATGGATGTGCTAAAGATGATGCACATTTTTTTAAAATGTTTGTTTTTATACAGTCATATCCTGTTGAATTTGTGTTTTTTAATGCTTTTATGATTTTATAAATGTCCTCTTCTGTCACTGGCGTTAAAAACATGCTTTTACTGTTACTAATAATGTTATGTTTATTTGGTCTATGTATTTTGTTATTATTAATATTTGTAATGTCAATGAAGTATTTATTAAATAGGTTTGCAATTGAATTTAAGTCATTGTATTCTATGTCATTATGTTTAATTATGTGTATGTCATTATTTATTATTGTACTGTCAATATTGTCCTTAATTACTTGCCAAGCGGCCCTGCATATATTTTTAGAGTGGGTTATATATCTAGTATTATCTATTTGTTGTGCGTTTTGAATACATCTTTTTAAAATTTTTGTATAGTGGTGATAGTTATTTTGGGTA